TTAAATAAAAAAAAAATCAAGATATTTAGCAAAGTATTTTTTAATTAAGTTTTATTACTATAATTATATCATTTTTACAATTGAGGTCTTCTTAAACGACCTACTTATAGAATAAAGGAGGTTAAATTAAAAAAAAATAATAATAATTTTTTTTTTAGTTTTAATTTTTTTTTTTTACATTTAAATTATTGCATTAATATTTGTTCGTTAATTAAACGAATATAATGTACCAAAAATGTTATTATATCACTATAACTAAGCTATTTATGTCTAGTGAATGGTGTGGTAGAGGCCTGTAGGCACCCACGCCAGTACCGCTTTTCTGCCGCATAAGTGTATTTTCTACGGAACTGCTTCAAATATTTTAAAAAGTAATCAGCGTTTTAGAAAGAGAAATATATTCTCCATATGGTTTATTTCAGCACGTTTTGCGTTATTGTGGACCATTTAATTACAAACGACGCTTGATTTGTAACTTGAAAATTTTTTTGTTAAAAAAGTTGACTTTACTGGTGTTTTTCATAGCCTAAGCCAATTATTTTTTTATATTTCTTCATGTTTTATTATTCTATGACTATTCAGCTTTAATAAAAGACCAACTATGAGGAAATTAAGCCAAATTCTGATTCTCAGTGACCAAAAAACTAACTAAAGTCAAAGTCGTCAATCCGCCATCTTTGGACGCCATTTTGGGGCAGTGCGTTCACTTTTTTTTGTGGGAACATTGGCTTTTTTTTAATAAATTGTTACAAGGAACACAACGATATGCAATTTATAGGGATGTGGGGGGGGGGTGCACGGTAAGGGGGTCTGGCCCACCGTGTAATAAGTCTACCTCATCTGGCTGAGTTAATAGTTGTATAAGGTAACAAAATGCTAATAAACATTGCAGACATGACAACTTAGAATCAAAATTACCTTTTACTTTGACTTAGTTCCAAAAAGAAAGAAAGGAACCTGTTGATTTCATTAGTAACAAAATAACTTTCTGCTAATTAGCAAAACATATCTCTTATGTCACACAATGTGCTATTCCACTAATTCCAAAACTTGACAATTGATGACAAATATTGCATTCTTTTGTAGATTTAAGGTATGCATGAAGATGTAAAAAACAAGTAGAAAATTCTTAGAATAGAAGGCTAAAAGTATGCCTACCCACAGATTATTTCTAATATTGAGTATTGCCACCGTTTATGAACAATTCACAGGCAATTCAATTCAATATTTGATAACGATAAGCTAAATTTTTAATGTCCTATACAGTGCCTTAAGAAATTTGACATCCCCAGGCATCCTCAACATAGAGTGCTTCCCCCCCACAAAAAAAAAAAATTCAATTTAAAATATATCTTAAGCCATTGTATATTTGAACTGTATTTCATTCAATGTTTCTAGTTCACTTGATTTTCTAAATTTTACTAAAATTAATTTATAGAATACATTTATGTATTTTTTTATAATTTCCAGCAAATGTCAGGCACCCCTTTAGTAGTTAGGCACACCTCATGTGCCTAAGGTGCCTGACTCTGAAGCCGGCACTGGTCCTATATAAAACAAATGTAAATGATAAGAAAAAAGTAATAACAAGGAAAAAATAACAATTATATTTTTATTATAAACATAATATAATAGAAGACATCTCATATAGATAGTTAAACCATTGATTTCCTTAATATAATATATCTTAGATTTTACATTGAGTGAATATGTGATGTCAAAACTGCATAGGCCATAGAAACTACATTGATGCCATTTAGACACAGAACTTATTTAATACAATATAATGTAAAACCTTAAACAAATAATTCATAGGTTGTAATATTAATTAACACATCACAATTACAAAGTAAGACATGTTACAAGTATAATATTAATAAGCTATGAAGACCAAAACATCTATATTCTCATTAAAAGCATTCTTATCTACATGTTACTGAAAACTATTCAATTGTAATAAAAATTAAAGATAGTTTAGTCTCAAAGCTTTATCATTAATCTATAAGCTGAAAAAACAGAATTCATTCATTACTTTTTAAAAATACGATTTATGTATTTTATTTTTCATAATAAATAATCATTGTTTAAATTAATGAACCAAAACAGCAAAATAATAATAATGATTTTTTTTTTAAATTGGCATAGATACAGCTGTCATGTGATGTAAGAAATAAAGCAAAACATTAAAAATCTATTGACTAGATTTAAGAAAGTTTCTAAACTGATAAAACTTAATGTATAGAAAATTAAAATAATTTATAAACTATAACAAGCAATTGAATAATAATCAATTTCATATTTTCTTAAACACCATGAAGAAAACTAACTTACATATAATAAATGATTAGACACACCCACTTTTTTATTTATTTTAGATTTTTCAAAATTTATTCAATTAGAGACTGCCAACACTCTCCAAACATTATTGTAATTTTGCTCCATAAAATAAAGCCAAGTTGACTATACCATAACCCTTGTAAGATAACGCTTACCAATAGGAAAATAGAAGCAAACATTGTCAAAACATCGACAAAAAAATATATAAATAAATGAAAATAACAATAAATTATTAAATTATAATTAAAATACATGATTAATGACAATAGAAAATTTTAATCATCAAAAATAATATACAAATAGGTGGGATATATTTGAATGTTAGCAATCTCTGCACAATAAAATATCTCAGAATGGTGTGAATATACTTGGTTATTTCATGAACATTTGACACGGACAATCATTACAAGCTAAGTTGTTAAGTGCTTATTTATTATGTAGAATCAAATTTTAAATGATATTTAAGAGGGTATAATGAAGCTAAGCTTATGCAGATATAAATTTATAAATACAAAAATATATAGATACCATTAAACTTATACACTTGAATTTCTGTATATTAAAAATTTGTATCGATACCTAATTTTTTTAGGAACCTTGAATTTTTATTGTAAAAAAAGATTCAGTTTATATCAAATATAATTTCTTTTTGCATTGTAAATAAAACTTGAATTTTCAAAAAGTAATATACGTGTGCATTTGTAGTTATTTAAAAACAAAACGATGGAAATTAGTGGAAGACCAGAAGCTTGACGATAAAAAATTGCTATAATAAAAAAATCATGGAACTTAGCAATCACTCTTAAAGAAGTTTTTATATAGAAATATAAAATTAGGCATTTTTCAAAATTTTTCTCTATAATGATGGCCCAAATATTAGAAAAATCACTATGTATTAATTTTTACGAGTATTAATATAAGTATATAATCAACTTATGTATTTTATTTTTAGAAAAAGTATTGTCTTTTAGACACTATAAATTTATCTGTTATAGCTTATTGTATATACCACATACATATGAAAGTCATTAATGAAAAATTACTTCTTTTCGGTATGACAAACATTCTATAAATTAACCTTCTTTTTTTTTCAAGGAACCTTTAAATTTTGTTCAAATTCAAATATAAGAGAATATCGCTCACTAAATAACATTAATAAAAAATAATTATCTACATTTCTGTTTGAAATGGTTGATATTATACTGGTAAAACTCTCTTCAATTATACTTATCTATATATTTCAAAATAGACACAAATAACTATAGAATATTTAATTATTCTTAGAATTAAATTAAATATATTTAAAAAGTAGAAGAAAAACAGTCTCCAAGATTTTAATGTCACATTTAAATAACTAACAGTATACAAATATTTACTTTTTAACAGGTAACTATATTAATAAAATTACTTTGATTTTCAACATGAATTTCAAACAATTATTCATTACAAAACTATTATATCACAGAATACAGAGAGAGAACAGCTATTCCCTTTGCTCATGTAGCTATAACATCTATAAATATATTTATGGATATAACTATAATTCAAAAAACCTCTTTTCTACTTAACGCCTATGTCATTTAAGTTGTTAGGCTAATTTAACCAGTAGTTCTTTCCTTAACACGATTTATACAAATATACAGATTATAACAAAATTTATATCAATATCATTACAGCATAAGATTTATAAATATATATATTTTTATAACAAGTATATTATAGCAACAAACTCATAAAGTAGGAACTAATTTTCTCCATATTATATTTATACCACACAACCAAAACGAAAGGAGTAAAACTCAAACAGTTGTCATTTTGAATCGGGAGAATAATATAATCATCAGAATCTGTTCTACATTTCAAATTTAGAATTATGTACTGCACTGCAATTAAATTACTGCTATTAGTTTCGAAAAAGATTTATTGCCGATAAAGAAAATTGGTACAAAGACACTAATACTTTTGCTCCAAAGAAAATCATAAAAATACATTAATTTCATCTAAAGCAGACAAATTCTGCATAGTTAATTTCATTCAATCTTTCCTTCAAATCATTCTTTTCTATTTCTCATAAGCATTTTTTTTTTTTTTTTAAATTGACTACATTCTGATTCGTAAATAGCAAAAAAATAATTTTAAAATAGAACCTTATTTAATTTAATTTTCATAAATCAACAAATATTGAGTTGTGCCCCGTTTATCCAGGATGTGTGGTGTTTTAAGTAAAACCAAAAAAACATGCAGTAATACATAAAATATTAAATAAAAAATTACACAATCTTCTATATAGCACTATAATGTTCAAAACAAGAATTCAAGATTAAAGTGTCAACTATTACTTAACATGATCGACATCAAAATTAACACTTTTTTAAATATTAAATTTAATATAGTAAAGAGCCGTCGGTGAGTAACCAAGCAGAGTTGATGAACAACGCTGTTCATGGCAAGTAAATATTAATTCTCATATTATTGGCAAGATTTAAAATGCTAATAGTGTGTAATTTTTATGTACTAATAACATGCATAACAGTAGCTATTATTATGTAATAATTACATAAAATAAAATATATAACAATAACTAAATAAGATTAAAATAATATAAAAGATTAAGTACAAGTCTCAATTTATGCTGTTCATTTTCAATTTTATCAAACAGCATTTAGAAACTAGTTTCTACTCTTAAAGAGATCTTAAATACAAATATTAATAAACAACAAACTAGCATTGTGATTAAACTTATAGATATCGTTTTACAAAAATTACTTTAGAATGTTAATGAGCAAAAAATTAATTTCCAAAAAGTACATGAAGATACTTTGCTTCAGTCTTCTTATATGCTGGCATAACTTTCTAAAAGTGATTCACCAAAATGAGTAATAACATAATCGTGATAGTACATCATGATGCACAATGGTTGCCCGAGGATAAGAGAGGCCCATACAATCATATTGCCCCATCTAGGTCCCAAGTTCTTTTCCACGGAACGACATAAATGGGATAATGGCAGCTATAAAAACAATAAATAAAAAATATTGAGAAAACCTTATTGTCATAAAGGTAATATCAACACAAAATAATAATAAATTGCAAAAATATCTAATATTTATTTTTGAAAATCTAGGGTGATGAATCACACAACTTTCTCTTATGACTACACTTTCAATAGAAATTAATTTTTTTTAAAGTTAATAAACCTTAATAATATTACTTTAATTATAAATACAAAATCATTAATATAAGTTTGATAATAAAAAAGTCTAGCAGAAAATTCAGTTTGGCATATATATCGATAAAAAATTAGGTAAATACTTGACTAACACAAAAGACAAAATAGAACCACTGGAAAAGAAAAATGTTGTTTATAAATTAGACTACCAACATTGCCACCAAATATATATAGGTGAAACATCAAAAAAACTAAAAACCAGAATAGCACAACATACATCAAACTGCAAAAATAGTAAAAACATTAACATAACAGCCCTAGCAAACCATAGTATTAAATCACTACACACTTTTGACTTCAAAAATCCAGAAATACTAGCAATAAAACCAAAAACGAATAATAGGAAACTGCTGGAAGCCATACATATAACAAAAAACAATAATAGAACAGTAAACTATAAAACAGATACATAACATTAAGGTACACACTATTCAGACATAATCTCCAATATTGAAATTCAAAAAACAACAATAGCCAAAAAAAACACAACAAACAGCCATAATAAGAGGACAGGTACAAAGTACAGAAATAAAACTGAAGATAGCCAGATGTTGGTTAGTGTAACAATGAATAAGAAAAGATGTGTAACACCAAAAAATATAAAATAAATGTGACAAATATTTGATTTTTTGACCAATGGTACCACATCAAAAAAAAAAAGGTAAATAATTGTACAATAGATGAAGTAGAATGATATTGTAAAAAAAAAGTTAATAAAATGTGCATAATTTCAGTGAAGATAAAGATTGCTCTGATGATGGGAAAATTGTCCCGAAACGTTAGAGATAACAAATGCAATTAAAAGAATTGAATGAAATTGGAAGAATTGCCTTAGATATGAAAAAAAAAAAAATTTACATGGAAATTCCATTTAGGTTCGACAGAAACATTTATTTTCCATAACAGTATAAAAGCAGACATAACTAACTAAGATAATTTATTTATTTAAGTGTTTCAACTACTAGGATCATTTACACTTTAATTTCATGTTGATTACTATTTTTTTAAGATATTTTATGGCAATTAGAAACTTTGCAACTTTTTCAGTAATTTCAGAATCCTCTCACAATATATACTGTTGACCATATAATATCTGTGAGGCTCATGAGCTATACACTCAGTAAATTATAAGTATTGTGCTTATAATGCATTCTAGCCAGACTTTTTTTTGATCCAAGATATTACATTGTTGAGAACCTTTGACCACTTTTTATTGCTAATCTACTTTTTTCTTTTCCAGTAATTCGATTGAGAGTAGACAGCTAAAAAACAAGAACCTACAATCTGAGCCTTTCAACGAAACTAAACTAATTGAAAGTGATAGGTTTTTTTTTTCTCTCCATTACCTTGGACAATTATATATATTAAATATTATTTTTTTTTTTAAATTCTAGTTTTCCAACCGTATATTATTCTGCAAAAGTCTTGTGATAGTTTCAGAGTCCTTTCTCAATGAATGAGCTAGATCCATTGGATATCTGAGAGGCATATAAGCTATACACTCAATAAATGTGTGTAATATGGTTAATATGGGTGATGATTGCATCTACATTACCACTCTTATTTCTGGAAATTTGTTTTTAAACTGTAAAAATATTTCTATCATATTTCCTTCCTAAGTTAATTATTAAATTATTTAGAGATGGATATATAGTTGACTATTCAAATGTTATAGATCAAAAATGGTTAGGATGTGCAGTCAAAAAATTATGTTTATTGAGTTTGTCAACATTTCGAAAGTGATGTCTTTTAGGTCAAAATATCAGCTAATTCAATAAACATAATTTTTTTACTGCACTTCCTCACCATGTTTCATCCTTAGAAAGTTATTTCATAGTTCATATTTATTCATTTAGTATTACTACTAATAACTGGAAAAGTTCAATTATTTCTAATAAACAAAATTGATAGTAGTTTATAGTGGTGGGGTGTTAAATCCTTATCTGTTTAATTTAGATTGTTTTTTTCATTAAACAGATACAGTAAACTGTTTCACCCCAGATTAAATAGATACAAGGATTATCTTCCATGAGGAAGGGACAGGTGCTTAAAATCACCGCTGAACTCATTGATGACATCGAATAGATCTCAAAACTGAGCAAAACGAAGCCATCGATGAACTCAGCGGTGAGTTTAAGAACTTACCCAAGCCATCTCACTTTTAGGTTTAGTAGGTGAAGACAACGATACCAACAGGGAATGAGGGAAACACTGAATCTGTTTAATTTAAACAGCTTTCAGAAACAGATACAGAAGCTGTTTAACTTAAACAGCTTTCCGAAACAGATACAGGAGCTAATTTAAACAAATAAAGAAATCTGTTTCATTAAACAGCTTCTTGCAACAGATAAGTAAACAGCTTCCTGCAACAGATACAGAAACAGCTCTCCGAAACAGATACAACTGCCTGCAACAGCTCTACTGTACTCTAGACTATTTTGAAAGCTGTTTCAATGAAACACTGGTCATCGCACTGATGCAGCTTATAAACTGCTGATGCAGTTACTATTCAATGAACAGTTTATCAACTCATTTTCTTATCTAATTACTATTTTCTCGTTATTTTCATCAATAAATTTACTTATTATCTTTAAAATATGTTATGATAAGGGATTAATTTAATAATTAAATCAATAATTACTTGGGAGATAACAATTATATTGATATATTTTTAAAATACTGTTAAGGTAATAGAGGAGAATTTTTATTTTTAATTTTTTTTTTTCTCGCCATTTTGCCCATCACTAGTAGTTTAAGGAACTAATTTTGAAAATTCATCCTTTAAGCCTCATCAGACTATTTAAATGAGGATAAGACCAACTTGATACTAAATACTGTTTAATTTTACATCAACATAACAAGATTATTAAAAATTGTTTAAGCTGTTTTCGAGAAAACAGTAAAAATATATAATAATCAATGATATTATGTGGCACATTCAGTAAATCAATTTTAGTGAAAAAGTTACTGTAACATCACGCACATATCTAGCTTTAACACATTAATTTCAGTTTCATAGCTTTTGTTTTGTTTTTTGTGCTATGCTGTTCACACAAAGAGACTATTTTGCAATACTTGGTTAGTTAGACCTTATAACATGTATTTCTGTTGAAGACTCAGATTCAAAGATATTTCATGATTGCTAATCCCATACTACATTTCATACATAGGTTAGAAACAGTAAGTATATATAAATAGGATGATGTGTTGACAAAAAATAAGTACAGCCTATTTCACCCTTTAAATATAGGCACTGTGTAAACTGTGTTTGATGTATTTATACTAATACAGTTGTAAATATCATAAATAAAATTTAAATATAGGCATCAATAAATTTTCAAGTTTCCCATCTTCCTATGATATTTTAACAGAAAGTTACCAGTTCAGAAACAAGAAATAATTTTTGACCTGTTTCTTGTCAAATTCAGATAAACTTCTGTATTGTGGACAGAAAAGTAGGGGAAAAAAACTGTTTCCTTTTAGATTTTAAGGTGAAGATAGTCCATATTTTTGATACTCAGGATTCAATTAATCTTTTCCCGATTAGGCTAATTATAACTAAGCCCTTCCTTTCTACAGCTACAGTAAATGTAATTTCGTTCTCTTCAATCGCTTCATGCCCTAGTGTCTAAATAAGGGTAAGCTTATTAATTAAGTCTGTGGCCAGTTAATTATGGAAAACTCATAGCAATAGATAACTAGTCAATATTTCTCATAAATAAAAAAAAAATAACAAACCTGGCTCATCATTCCAAGGAAAGCCCAAACTTTGAATGTCCTCAGCGGGACACTCACAAGATATTCATGAAAGAATGCACTAATAAAGAAAACTGTAACACTTGCTGTAGTTTTGGAGTACCCTTGCTCAACCATAGGAATGTACAAATGTCTGTAAAAAAAAAAAAAAATTTTTAATACAATAACATAGAATTAAACAATACTAAAATTACACAATTAATAAATAAGCTAGGCAATAGAGGTGAGAATTATATGATAATAATAGAACTATATTTTTAATTCAACGAGGTGACTAATTTAAAGATATAGTTATGAGGATAGGATAGGGTAGGGGTTTTAAGGCGATAATTTACTAGATTATTATGCCCGTAGAATTCCTAACTAATAATATTGTCATTTCTTAGCTTGTATAATATTCTTTTACAATTTGTATGTTTTAATTTTCAGATTAACATTTTATATTATTTAGGTATTTTTTTCTTTTGTATATATATATATATATATATATATATATATATATATATATATATATATATATATATATATATATATATTTTTTTTTTTTTTTTTTTTTTTTTTTTTTTTCTATAAAACAGTAAATGCGATTTGTTTTGATTCATATTATTCTACAAATCATGATTTCTTTTAGAAGTTCAATCACTGCATCCAATGAACATTATATTAATGAAAAAACTAATCAGGGAATGGACTAAAGTGATTTTTGTTTAAAAGATACTCCTTCCTAAGGCTATTAAAATAATAATTTATGTAAAGTATAGTAATAATGTTATACAATAATTAATAATGTATAAATAAAATTTGTCTTTCTAAAATTAAACTTAATTGCTATGTACAAACATTATCAACTTATTAGAGCGACCAAATATGACAATGAGATACATGAATCTTGAACATGGTTGAATGAATAAATATTATATTTATTTTCACGGTTTGTCCCATATAAAGAGTTAGCTACAATAATCATAATAAGTATCAAACAACACCTAAAATAGGGTTACAGTAATTGTAATAAAAAATGGCACTCATTTTCTCTAAAATTCGATTTTACATATTAACAGAATGATTCAAAAAGTTGGGAGGACATATTGGGCGTTTACAGAGAAGAGCATCATAACAACAATGGTGAAAGGATACTGAACTTGTGCATAGTGAATGAAATGATAGTTACAACAGTATCTTCTGTCACAAGATAATTCATAAATATAAGAGAGTAGAACCTAGCCGCAACGAAGAGTCAATCATTCTTAGCTCTTTCATCATTCTTAGGAGTAATCAAGGTTGGCAATAGAACTAAAAGGACAGCCTGGTAGACTGAAGAGGTAAAAGAGGAGATTAAAAAACTAAAATGGAAACAGTATCTCAACACCAGCACCGATGCAGATTACAGGCTCTACAAGGAACGAAGAAAGAAAACAAAAGAAGTCGTAACAGCTGCAAAAAGAAAAGCCTGGGAAGAATTCGGAAGCAAAAGAGAAGAGAATTTCCATGAAAATCAAAAGTTATAGAACAATCCAAATAAAACACAAAGAAAAAGAACCCTCAATTAAGCATATTAAAGACAAGCATGGGAATATTCTTAGCAACCCAAAACACATCACAAAGAGATGGGACGAGTACTTCGAGGAACTACTGGAAAATGAAGATGAAATTGAAGAGGTCTTATCAAGCCTCAAATTGGGTAAAGCAGCGGAGATATATGGCATCACACCAGAGATGATGAAATGTATGGGAACTACTGGACAAAAAATATTCTAACACCTTCCAAATGTAATATGGAAGAATAAGGAAGTTCCAAGAGATTGGGAAGTGTCTGTAATCATACCTATATTTAAAAAAGGAGATAAGAGAGAGTGTCAGAATCACAGAGGCATATCCCTCCTTAATGTACCATGGAAAGTGTTTTCCAAAATCCTAGAAAGACGCCTCAGGAATGCAGTGGAACCAACACTAGGAGAATTTATGGATTTAGAAGAAACGGAAGCACTCAGGATCTTATCTTCTTGCTAAGACAAATATCTGAAAAGGTCATAGAAAAGGATAAGGAAGTTTTTACCTGTTTTGCCGATCTCACGAAGGCCTTCGACAGGATCAGGAAGAAGGACATAGTAACGACGGTACTAGGGGAGAAAAATGTCAATTTGGGACTACAGAAAGGAATCCTAAGAGTCAGATTCTAAGGGATCCTAAGAGAAGTCCTTACAGGAAGCAGCGCGCGCAATGTGGTGAGGTCATGTAACCACACATCGAGAGAATTTGAGACTACCCAAGGATGCAGCCTGAGTCCACTGCTTTTCATCATAACTCTGGACATGACCCTCAACAAAGATAAATCAAGGATAAGACCCTGCAACTTAGGATACAGAAATCTTAAGCCCATCTTTGCGGATGACTTAGTTTTATTCGCAAAGAACTGCAGGAACCTCTAATTCAACATAAAAGTTCTACAGAAGGAATTAGAAATTGTCAATATGACTATCAATGCAGCGAAAACAAAGATAATGATATAGAAAGGTAAAGCGAACATGGGGATCGAGTGGTAAGACTGAACCATATATGGTTAGAGCAAGTAAAAAATTTTGATTATTTTGGTGCTCACCTGAACGAATATCAATGGATAGGTGGTGAAATAAATGAAAGGATAAAAGCTGCCAGGAGATGTTTCAATTCTCTTAAGAGAGGTTTTATAGGGGAAAAAGAAGTGTCAAAGAACACAAAGAAAGTAATTGACAAAAACACTTTCTTAGCAATCCTCACCTATTCAAGTGAATCTTGGACAATCGCCACAAAACACAACAGCCAAGTTCAAGCTATGGAGATGCGGTAATTTAGAAGAATGGAGGGAAAGATTGTGGTCGTTTTGATTGAAATAAAATGGGTTTTGATTGTAAAGATTTTAGATATAGATTGTGGTCACTAGTAGAACTTGAAAATGACCATTAAGATGAATAAAAACATTTTATAAAGTAAAAAATTGAGAACAAAAAATTATTTTTTAAGTAATAGGGAGAATTTAAAGCATACTTACTATGTCCTCTACTGATAGGGTCATTAAAATCAATGATTAAACAATTTTAAATAAATGAATTCATATGGATTTATTTTAACATTTTATTTTAACACCTGAGATTTTTTCATATATTATGGGCCATTCTGTCAAGTAAACTTCATTTAAGATTTATTTTTGAGATTTTCGGTCACATATTTATACAATATGAATTTTAGCAATTACATATACAAATAAATAACTAATTTTATAATATTTCTTTAACATTTTCAAAGTTTCAGAACCGATTCTGATGACAGAGGCTTGTCAAATGGTCAGCAATCATCACAGTTCAAGTTGTGAAAATGTTTTTTGAGATGATTACTAAAGTTACTGCTCAGAGGAACAGGACAGTAGAGCGGGCTAATGTGTATGCAAACCACTTGTTGCCAAGCAACCTGATAAACCGAAGATAAGATGATAAAATATGTAAGAGTTAGCATCCCGGTGCCGTAGGTTTTTAACTCTGGCATTAAACCCCCACCCTCATCTCTTGCCTGGGAAAACCTAAAAGACGAGGAAGGAGGGGAGAAAGTTATTGTTCAATCCAAAAATTTTTTAATCATTCAAAAGCAGAGTCAAGTAGTATAGAAGAAGGAGGTTTTTGTAAGGATTCAATTTTTATTGCTTACAGCACTTGATAAAGCTTTTTATTCAAATTCCAGCCAATTAATTTCTATTTATACAGCCTCTTGGTATTTTGAAAGCCTACACTGACAGGAGGCTGGCAATTTAAACAGAATTTTAATTATGAAATGTTAAAATGACAGATAAAAAGTTGACATTTTTACAGCAACAACTGTTGCTATTATTACATGTATTTCCTCTATCCCTGATTAGTCAAAAATAACTACATTATCTGTTAACGTAATTAAATTAAGGAGGCCAAGAGTTGCCTTCAAATAATATTTCTAAAAAGTATAAAAACCTTAAGAATATAAAAATCAAAGAGAACCAAAATGTCTCAAACTCAAATTCTTAAATCCTAACTCAAAACAATTAATAACAAAATTCATAAATATTTAAACGCCCCAAGCAATTTAGGATCCACCAGCCAATCCTGACTCCCATGACAATCAAATATATACCAATAACATTTATAAAATTGAAACACATTCAATAAACTGAGAAAAAGATATTATTACCTGACACACCACTTATGAACTGGCATATTCCATGTACGCCAAAATACATCAATATTGGCAGCATTCCACCAATCACAATAAAAATTTCTGTCAGCAAAATGCAAAATTTCACCCATCATATTAAGGAAAGAATGGAACGATAAATAGAAAAATGTAAGCCAAACAAGATGATTAGGTATCTGAAAAATAAAAGAGCACATTTTATTACAAAATAAATATTGCTTCTTTCTTCCAAGTTCAATAATTAAGAGTTGGTGATTAAAAGTACAATTTTTCTAGGTCCAAAACACCTTTCTTTTTTTTTCAATAGGAGCTAAAGAAATTTGAAAGTTCTTGCAGAAGATAAAATTTGGCAAATCAAATTAATATAATCACTAAGTGGATTATTAAAGTTTGTTTAGAATCAGTTTGTAGTTTTTGAAAATTTGTAATTATAATAATTAGCTCAAGTTTTTGTTTCTTCTGGATCAATTTACAGATTTGAAATTGGGGATGAAAAAAAAATTTACTTCACATTAGGACATTCCTTACTTGAGCAACAATAGTTTACTTCCAAGGTACTACTTCATACTGAAAAAATGAAAGTTATACAAAAGCGGATGTACGACGGTCATGCCTATAGCCAGCAATATATCAATTTTATTTACAAAGGAACCTTAATTTTTTTTTAGAAACAATTTTTCTGTAAATCTAATACAATTTTTATATCTCAAATTATTTTTTTATTTATTTTTTTTGGTTTTATTTATTTAATTTAGAAATACAATAATCTGTCACGTGGACAATAATTATAGTGAGATATGAACACATTCACACTATATATACAAAAAACCTAAAATTAACGACAGTAAAATAATAACTAAATAATAATCAAAAACTATGTACAAAAAAAAAATTACCTAAAGATAAGTAAATTAAAAACATAAAAACTCAGCCATACCTATATACAATATATACAATCAGGTAGGGAATCCCAAGCCAGGCTTGTCCCTCCAACTAGAGAGGGAAAAGCAGGACTTCCAAGAGATCTCTGTGTTTCACTCTCAACTGTATCACTGGTGCTAAAGCCAGTGGAGATTGAGCAAGAGTGCTTTAGCCACATACAATCATATCTTGAGTGGAAAATCTGGCCATTGCCAGAACTTCAAGATATATATGAAAAAAAAAAAATCTCTGGGCCACTGCCGCTTCAACCTTCGAGGACTGTAAGGATGAGTGGAACAAGGTAGGGTTTGTGCAAGGGGATTTGCAAGGTTCTGATGGAATTTAGAGAATTTTTCAGTGATAAGGTCTAGGACAAATGGAATATTAAGGTCATGATGTAGGGTTTTGTTGATTACATACAACGGAGCATTGACTATTGTCCGAGGGACTTTCGACTGAAAGGATCGGATGCGTTTGATGTTGAATAATAATAATCAAAAATTTATCGGATGCGTTTGATGTTGAAAATTTAGCTATCCCCCAAAGTTCATGTCCGAAGGTCCAAATAGGTTTCAAGACTGTCTTGTAGATCAGTAATTTGTTGTCAATTGAAAGTTCAGATTTTCTAGTAAGTAATCTGTACAATTGGCCGTATTGTCTGTTAAGTTCTTGTCTTTTAAGTCTAGTATGTGGGTTCCACGTTAGTCTTCGCTCTAAAAGAAAGCTAAGATACCTGACTGTGTCTGAAAAAGGAAGCTGGATGGAATTAAAGTGAACTGGTGGACAGAATCTGCACTAGAGCGTGAAGATAATGTGTTTGCATTTGGATTTGTTTACTTTGATAAGCCATTTATTACACCAGTGTTCAATCAGGGAGGTGCAGGTTTAACGATGCTATTTTGGGATCTGAGTTGAATGATAGGACGGAAGTGTCATCAGCAAACATATATAAAGGATATAAAGGACGGGACCCAAGATGCTCCCATGAGGAACACTGGTTTCAACTGGGTAGGAATTAAATTAAAAATTAAATATGTTTTAATTAACAATACAAGACCCCAAGATTAAGGGCTTTCTCCCAACAAATTGTACACCTCCAATAACTACCAACACCTTGCTTACAGTTGTTGCAAACCAATTGCATATAATTCAGAAATAACACTAACATCCTTCCTTCAGTCTTCAGTAAATTTTGCATTTTTCTTATCTTCCCGTAACCCTTTAGGTAAACAGAGTTATGAACTTTCTTAAAAGATCTTTTGTAGAAGCAGTAAGTCAAACAATGTTAAGACATGGTTGATTTTATTAAGGTTGATAAAAGGGACTTAATTGTTTTTTTAATAAATACAAAATATCAATAAACATTCAAGAGAATAAAATAAAACCTAATGAACAAGATAGCAATGATATAAACATTAACACAATTATTTTTAAAATATTAAAAGTTTTTTTAATGGGAAATTTGTATTAACATGTGACATAATATTTTAAAGTTAATACTTACAGAAAGTTTCAATAAACGTTCTGTAGCCAACATCAAGTTCATATTCTGAAAACAAAAAATAAAGTTTATTAAGGTAAGTTTGAGTTATCACAAGATTAACATATAATAAAACAATATACAAGAAGATATTAAATCTAAAATAGATTGATTTTAAAATTATGATAGTGCCATAGGCTCTTTTGGCAACCCTTTCTCAGAACCTAAAAAACCTCACTTTGATATTTTAATGAACAATATATTGTTCAGATTTTAGCCACTTTGGTGATCTATAGATACATGTGAAAACAGAATAAAGATACTTCCAATGATAACAGTTTTGAGCAAGGCTTGAAATGAAAATTTAACTTTTATTTTTAGTCAGTTTCAGTATAACTGAAATCTTTGCTTTCAAAATTTCCCCCTGTTATTTCGGAACAAGAACTTTATCCCTTGCTACTTTTTAAGTAGCAGAACTTAGTAAAAAAAAAAAAAATATATATATATATATATATATATATATATATATATATATATTTAAAAGCTCTTTAGAAAGAACTCGCTATATCAAAAAGTCAATAAAAAATATAAATATTATTAGCTACTCAAACAAAGGACATATAAGAATCAAGTAATTATTTAAAATAAATTATATCAGTACTCTAAGCCCAATGACTATTTATTTCTTAACTAGTGTATCTTTTTATAAGAACATGAATAAATAAAAGTTAAACTTTTATCGTAAACCAAGAACTTTATAATGAAAAAAATCCTTTGAACTTCTATTTTAACAACTTATTTTCCTTAAAGGTTTCTGGGAGAATTAATTATAACACCACACTATTATTAATTAATTTTATTTAAAGTTGAATCAATGAAAAATGAAATAGAAGAAAATGCCAGTATTTGAATTCATTCATATGACATTTTTTCACTTAAATTTTTTAAAAATCAAATCTACAATTTACTAAAAACATTATTGAAGAAACCTATTATTTTCATCAGAAATTATGAACAGATAAAATCTAAATCACTAAATGTCAAACATCTTCAAATATATTTTATTCCCTGTCCAGATCACCGAGGTTATCATCACTTCTAAAAATTATCATAAATACGCTTCAAGCAGTATTAATTTTAACACCATTTTTTTCATGAATAATTACCACTGTTGAATAAAATTTCATAGTTTTCACATCACCTAACAATAGCAATAGATCAAAATAGCCAAGAAAATATAAGCCAAAAGTATAAAATAAATACTAAAGAAAAATAATTTTATAAAATACGAAAACAAAAGTTTAAAAAATAAATTAAAATAAAAGAAAACAAAACTTACAGAAAATGGGATTAAAGAGTTTTTGACTGAGGGAATAATCCACTGCTGAAATAAGCATAATATCAGTTGTAAAAGAACTATCACTTCCAGCAAACGTTTCAAAAGAAATCTAACAAAAATAAATAAAAGATAGTAATAAAATTAAAATTAAAATAAACTGCATTGCGAAATGAAATCAAAAGTATTTATAAAATTTAATGTAAAGTTCATATAATTTCAGCGAAATCAGCAAACATTGTAATACCAACAAGTAATTACTAATATAGCTGACGGTAATATTCTAATCATAACCAACAACATGGTTGTAGACATTGACCATTTCCATTTTGAGCTTAAAGCATTCATCAGTTACTTATTACAATTTTAGAATTATAATATAATGTAGATAGGCTTCATAAATTTTATTTAAATGAATACACATAAATTTTATTTAAATGAATAAACATAAATTTTATTTAAATGAATAAACATAAATTTTATTTAAATGAATAAACATAAATTTTATTTAAATGAAAGAACTGTATATTAAGGAAAATAATGTATATTAAGTAACTATTACTTCTATATCTGCACATACACACAGTAAAAGATATTTTTTAGATAAACGTTTTTGACAGAAAATGAGTTTAAATAAATGTAATATTAAGTGGAATGAAATGATTTGTAATCAGCAGGTATAGTTTACACTTGGGATTGTTTTAGTATTAATAAATAGTCAAATACAAAATACCCAAATGTGAAATACTTCTGCATTTTCATATTCATACATGAATAAACGTTACTGATACTAAAGCCACAATTGTTGAGGCATTACTGTATATAAAAGAAAAACAGTCATTAAAGTAAATCAAGAAAGAATCTTGACCTACAAAGAAAATACTGTCCCACACATCTTCAGTAGCTTGTAACAAATTACGGTACTTCTTAAATAGCGGGATGGGACGAAACCTCCCTTTTTATCTAATGTTACATCACATAACCTCCCTTATTATCACATGTAAGCTGTGATTATTCCATAGTTTATTTTTGTTGAATTAGTGTGATTTTCATCAAATTATGGATGTTATTACATCCTAGGAATCACAGTCTTCAGAAGAAGAGGCTATTGAATATTTTCAAAACGCTGGGATAATTCCAAACGTAAAATTGTGTGAAGAAGGTCATCCAATGAAGTTAGACAGGAATACAAAATGCAGATGTTTTCGTATCACTTGTAACGAAAATGTTTCTATAAGAAAAAGAACATGGTTAGGGGGGTCTAGGATTTCTTTTTTAACGGCTTTAAAATTCATTCATGAGTAGTCCCATAATTTAACAACAATACAGTGGAGCAAACAACAGCTGAAACTATCCCAGCCAAATGGTAACGTGGAACAAATTTTTAAGGTTTGTGCCCATAACATGTTATGCAGGTCAAGTAAAAAAATTGGAAGGCCTGGCAAAGTCATTGAAGTATTTCTAAAAGAAAAAGTCATGTGAGAGTTCTACCTGAGTTGTGGAAATTATATAAAATTGTTGTGGAAATTATTACATTTGTTTTTGTCTATTTAACATATATGTTGTAAAATAAAAGTATTTAATTAAACTGTTGTATTACATTTGTTTTCCTCTATGTAATATATATATATATATATATATATATATATATATATATATATATATATATATATATATATATATATATATATTGTAAAATGAAAGTATTTTTTTATTATTATCTATTATTTTTGTTTACAATTCCAATAATATGAATATAATACAATAAATATGAATAAGAATATAGGAATTATCAGTGTCTTATCAGAATTATCAGTGTTCAGGTTATAAACTTTGGCAGATAACATTCGGTCCCGCCCGGCTATTTAAGAAGTACCCAAATCATTAAAGCTAAATAAGGAAGAGCTTCAACATTAATTACCCAGACCTGTCACCATCTTTTTACAGTATTTATAATTTTCATAAATGATCGTAACCTTACTTGGTATACTTACTTGTTGATAAGGAAAAAATTTCTTTGATAACAGAATCATGAAGCATAAAGAATAAGGCAATATGTCATGGAGATAATGAAAAATGAATAAATGTTAAAAGTTTGTTCTTTATATTTAAATAAATGAGATTTATTACGCAATACAAAACTGTTTTCTCAATCATCAATCAAGATGACTGAACTGACAGTAATTACTAATACTATCTTGAAAATATCTGTTTAATGGTTTTAAGTATTCAGGGAATCCATCAGTGTACTCGATTAAGATCTATTTGTTCTATTCAGGAGAGCCTTGACTTGTAGTTCTATCACTAAAAGTATGGAAGTATTACAGAGAGTATAAAAATGGTACTTGTATATTTTATTAAATATATTAAAAAGTTTCTTTGTTTATTACTCGAAATGCCCACGGAATCATAGAGCGATTTTCCCTATCAATAGATTTGTATTTCATCAAAGACTAAGATAAAAAAGTAATATTTTAATTTTTAAAACCTTAACACTTGATAAGTATCCTATGGCAATCATAACATTTAAGAGGCATTTGGAAAGAAGTATGATTTACCTCAAAAAAAATGTAAAAATAAATAAATTATATTAATTTTTAGCCGGTGTTTCGGCACAAAGTTCAGTCCTTCATCAGGGCTAAGAAAAAAACAGATAACAAAGAGTATAAGAAACTATTAACACTAAAAAGCAAATAATAATATATGGGTGAAAGGTTTAGTCAAAAAACATGTAGGTAGGATAAACTAAAAGTAAAATAAAGTAGGTTGAATAAACTTAAAGGAAATATAAAATAACGATGACCAAGTTAGGAATTTTCAGACTAAACCTTTCACCTACATATTATTATTTTCTTTTTAATGTTATTATTTTCTCATACCCATAGTTATCTGTTTGTTTTTTTTAGCCCTGGTGAAGGCTTGAACTTTGTGCTGAAATATCAGCAAAAAATAGAAATACAATTTGTTTATTTTTACATTTTTTTGAGTGAACTCACCAAGCAGTCTTCTTTTTAATTATTCATTACAGTCAAACATTAATCCACAATTATGATTTATCTCGAAAACTAACATATTAAATTAAATGTAAGACAAACTTAATTATCTATGTAAGGATATATATAAAAATATTATTCAGTTTCATTTTTTTTTTTTTCACATTAAAGACAAACAAATTCAAATGGATTATCTTTAATTTAAATTTAATGTAATTTTATAATTACAGTTTAATTGTCATAAGGTTATGACAAACTTCCAGAATTATATTGCAAGATTTTAAAGTATGCGGTAATTGTCTAACACTGTGTTGATAGAACTTTCATAAACAATGCAACTAAGCAAATATAATTTGAAAGAGATTTAAATAATATGAGTGGATTTAATTATGGTCAAATCAATGTTAACATCAATGCTAATGCTCTAACGCCTAAAGATTTAATAGCATTCATAAATACCTTTTCCTGATACGATCAGTTCTAGGAAAGTTTAGTTCATAGCACAGTGTCGGAGCAAGGATAAAATAAGTGATATCCTTTACATTTAAATTGTCAGGGTAATAAACCAGGTGGTCTTCTATGGGATCATTGTGGTTAGCGCTACCGTTACCTTAAAACAAGCATAAGAAACTATTATCCATGAACTTATACCATTATTCAGTTTAATAATATATTATAAAATATATACTCATAATTCAAATATTCAAAATTCTCTTTCACATGAAAAAAAATTCAAGAAAAATTGTCTTTAAAAAGGCAAGCAAGATAAACAATGAATTTATACCTAAAGAGTACTATACTATATTACCTTTTATGACTTTTTGGTCAACACATAAGAAAGCATGATCCATTTCATTTATTTTTATTTTAAATGAATAAATGGAATGAGTTAAATGTGGAATCTTAATAAGTGGCAAGAAAATTGAAATCTATATAGATGCAGATATGATTTGGAATTGGTTTTTGACAATCTGTTAATACTATAACTAAAGCCCAGATTTATATGGATATACATTTTTTTCCACCATTTTTCAAAATTATGAGTCAATATTTTTATGAAACAAGTCATTCAAAATATTTTGGTAAATTTTTATGTTGCATACTTGGAAATTTTTTATTTTTATGCCTATTAAGATAAAAAAGACATTTATTATGCATATTTTGATTAATTGAATTTATTTTGGACATAGAAAATATTTTAATTAATACAATTAAATGTTAATTTTTATGTAAATTAATATTTGAAAAGATGATAATTGATACAATGATAATAAAAGCTAAATATGTGTAATTAAAGATAACCTTTAATAAAGTATCCCCAAGGAATTTTCCTTAAGAAATGTCATTAAAAAAAGGTCTCAAACTTTCAGAAACTTCTAAATAGCTATATTGCTATTTAAAAATTAATATAAATTAAACCTATCAAATGGAGCGAGAGATAATTAAATCTTTAATAAATTGTTAAACTGAAAAAAAATCTGATAATAAAAAAGTTTTGATAAAAAAGATCTGACGAGGTATGCGGCATAACACTACTTTCACTCACCAACCTTAGTGTAGAAAGCTATTTTCATATATATGAAAGTGGGTCGAGCTAGATAAGGGGCCTGCAAAAACTTTCCCATTCGCGAGATTTAAAACAATGAAAAAAGGATAAATAAAAATAAAAATAATTAATGATAAATTAAAATAAATAAGTGCAGCCCCTACTCGATTGCTTAGACCATTATGGCGCGGGTTTGATTCCCGAATGGGGACGTAACATCCCCAGCCTGAGATTCACAGGAAAATGATCGATTTCTGTGGCTTAGGACATAGCTCTTGGTCCTCCAGATGGATGGGCCATTAATCCTATCCCATAAAAAACAACAGGATGGAGACGTCTGCGCAAAAAGTTGGCCAACCATCCTGATGAAGAGGGAGTAATTTGTGATTGCATCTGATTATAAACCATGGGCTCCCTGAATGTCTATATAAGAAAAACAAACGATCACAGCTGTCGCTTAGAACACCCCCGTAGCTGCTAGAAGACTAATGGCAGAAGTCAAAAAAAGTCAAGGAGTGTTAAAAAAACACGTCACATATATATGTATATATAGAGAAGTCAAAGTGAAAACAAGGTTTAACTTCATTTAAAACAATTGATAACATTTTCCTGCCCATAAAATTTGTTAAAGCTTTACGTTTGCATCACTTTTTATTTTTTTTATGACTGTATATAATACCAAAAAATATTAATGATTTTGGGAAAAATAGATCTTTTAGAAAAATTCTGTGTTTTATCGGAGACCTTTATTACAAAACTCGTCAAAAAAATAATTTAACGTTAGTAAATACTATATATTATAAAGTTTATATTAGTAGATTATCAACATTTCATGTGAAAACCATTTTAGGAAGTTATAGATAAGTGATATATAAAAGTTAAACTAACAATATGAATGACTCTCTAAAGAGGAGTATCGGGTATCTGGAAAGGGAGAGGATCCGTAAATGTTGTGCGCTCTGGGCTGTTTCCGTTTTGATTTCAACCCTTATTTCTCCTTTAGTTAACAATCAATTTTCTTCATCCATTATATTTAACCATTTTTTATATCAGTCTATGATATGAGATGGTTAATAATGTTAAATAAAAAATAGAAGTACTTTAGAGGAAGAAATTCTGAAAATTAGGCATTTAAAGCCGGTTAGAGAGCATCATTAAGAATAAGGCCTACATTATATTAAAAACTGCTTAATTTTACACTGCTATAATGAATTTAATCAAAATCATCAGAGCCGTATTTGAGAAAATTATGTAAAATTGGTGATATAAAGTGGCACTTACGGTTAGGCAATTTTGACAAAAAATTTACTGTAACATCCCAGTTATGTACAAACCTTAAATACACAATTTCAGTTATGCATGACTTTTTGTTTTTGAGCTAGAATGCTCATAAACGGACATACACAGACCATTTTGCAGGATTTCATTATTTGGACTCAGGGGACTTCAAAACACATATTAACTTCGAAAACTAAGATTAAAAATTTTCATGATCGCAATACTTTCTCTTACTATATATTATATACATAGGTAGATGAAAGTAATAATAAAATCAAAGATTTTTTTTTATACATAACAATATTACCGTATTTTTACAAATATTTATTTTTTTTCTCACTTTTGTCTCTGTCTTGAAATAGTTAAATTATAAGTAGTTAATATTGGCTATTTTAAGATGCAAATTAGACAAACATCTTAACAGAGGAACGAAAGTTCAATCTCTATATCCATTTGAACAAATAGGAAAATAATATGAAGTAATTAATATGTAAAAAAGATTCATATTTTTTAAAACATTTTTATTTATCTATTTAAGTTACTAAAGCTTTATTCTTGCATAAAATTTTAGTTATTTTGCCAGCTTTTATCTCTGCCTTAAAAGATTTTTTTCAGGGAACTATTTCTATTCTCTCGTGACTAAACTACTTACCATAAAACCTCGAAAGTACCATAAAAATCATTCCGGTGAATAAGGAAAACAAGATGGATAGGTGAGTAAAACAGATGTTATTAAGTTAAAAGAAAATACAAAACTTACTTAGTTTACTTAAAGACACACTCATTCTTCTGAGTGTGCTTTTATGTGAAGCACGAGCTGTTCTGCACCACAGATTTACTTGAACATATGACCACAGTTTTAAGAAAAGCACAGAATACAAAAAACAAACCCCTGAAGCTCCCACTGAAAAAGAAAAATATTTATTGTTCTCTAAAAGCTAATGTAGTTAAGACATGATGTAAATATCAGTAATGCTAACATAACCTCCTTAAAAACTAAGAAATATCAAACATTGGTTGATACACAAAATTAACTATTTATTATTTTTTTTCTTAACCCCATTGGATATGGTGTTGAGAAAAGAGAGTAAGACGAGGTTTAAGCATGACTTATTTTACTGCACAGGATGCATTTCAAAAGAAAGATAGGGAATTGGGAGTAATGTCATTATTTATATTTATGGTGTGTCTTAGTCTAGAGACGGAGTTCATTAGTGTCCTTAGTTTGTTAATAATTTTTTCAGAGGCCTCATCTGCCTGCCAAAGAGCTGTCTCTGCACTGATTGAGCTACTGTAGCAATGTCATTGGCGTATGCCGCTATAGTTGCTTTCTTGTACTTTCCTCCAACAATTTCAGCAGTGTAAATTAAAAATGATACAAAAAAAAAAAAAATCTGGTGAGAGCATCACTAAAGTTTAGTGATGCTCTACTTCAAAAATTAATTCTTGTCTGACAAAATTGGACTATTACAAGAAATATTTGAAGCGCACTTTTACTGGGACTAAACCTTGAACAATATATTTTTGTCATATTCATCAATACAAAAACTCATTAATACCATCAAAATAACATAAACTCTATTTATTATATCCATTATAGGCAATAAAAACATTAAAAACTGCATCAGTCTATTTGAATCACATAACTCCAGTCACTGAGCTCTATAAACAAAGATAGATTTGAAAGTACATGTATTTAATTATGAATAAGTAAGGCCATACTGCATAATAAAAATTATAGGAATAAAATCTCTATCACTTTCAAATTTATTTAAATTCTTATTTTTTAACCTTGGAAAATTTACCAAAAAAAAAAAAGTTACTTGTTTTTACATACAGCATAGATAAGTCGATAGTCGTTACACTGATTGCTAAATATATAATGCGATTTCACAAAGAACAATTTTTTTTTTAATATATCAACGATATATATTTAATTGTTAAAATATAATTGAGGGTTGATGGTTGGGTTGACTGTCGTGAATAATGAAGAGAAGGGTGGTTGGGGCAAGTCTGGAACATTGAGCAGATTTTGTTTGAACAATTTTTTTCTACTAAAACTTACAAAAAGTGAACTCATATAATTTTTTTTAGTGAATTTCATAAAACACATACATAAGTATGAAAGTCCATATATAATATTTTTGACATTTTTCAAATGTGTGAAATGACATTCCTTTAAAAAGCTTTTTAAACTATATTTTAAAATATAAACAAAATTAATTATAAATTAATATTGATATAAGGAGAGTTAAAGATAATGTAGATCCCAATTGAATATAGTATAATTAGCTGACTTGAAGGTGGGATGTTATTGAATCCAAATCATAAGATACATATAATGTATTTACTTATTAAAGAATAACATAAGGAAGAATTTTATACATTTAATGCCAAAGAAATAATTTTGACTGATTTCCTGACTTTTAATTATGAAATGTTTGTATTGATATATATAGTTAATGATAAATGTCTTATAAAATATATTTGAATGATTGAAAGTACTTAGTTATTATGAAATAAAGAGTTTATGTAATATATTAACAACTTACAAAGGCTGAAACCAGTAGGTTTGATGTAAATTACAACCATTGGAAGAGTAACAAGAAGTGCAAGGTTTACAACATGAGCTATAGAACCTATATTTGCAGCAATTTTTTCCTAAAAATAAATAAATAAACATAAATTAATGATATGTTAAGGAAATAAAAGTTATAATTTATCTTTATCCTAATAACTTTAGGATGACAAGATTTATTGTGTCAACTTTACATTGTGTTACTTAAATAATGAGAAATAGTTAAAGAGGTGGTTATAGATCTCAAGAGCTGTAAAAATATTTCAACGTTCAAAGTCCGATCCCACACAGAAAGACAATAAATTAAAAAGATTGAGTTTTTTAAGTATGAAACATTTTTCGTTCAATAGGAAGCAATAACTGGGAATCTGAAGTAGTGTAGGAAACTGGCCAAAAAAATTTTAATTAATCCATGACTTCATGAACAAAACAAATACCACAACATAAACAAAACTTTGCATATCTAAGTTAGCACCTAGAAAGACATGGGCGGTATGGCCAAGTAGCATGATAAACTGCAGAGTAAGAGTTCAAGTCCCAATGCCGGAGGCTTTTAACTCAGCCATTAATTCCCTGCCCTCTCTCTTGGCCCAAGAAAACCCGTATACAGAACAAAAGACCCTCCACATCAAATTGTTTTTAAAAAGACAAATTGAGGGTATTAATGTAAGAGCAAGATAAGCTCAAATTATCCAAAAATGTTTTAACGTATATTTTCCATAGAACAACATAACAAGAATAGAGCACAAATGTAACAAAAATCCTCCACTAAGCAGTAAAGAATGGTGGAATGATGATGTTTTTTAGAAATAAAAGAATCTGTTATGCTTTCATGCAAAAACCAAATATGTCTGGACCAACCTTCTTTTTGACACAAATATTAATTAGTGCATGCTACTTTTGAGACAAAACAGGACTAGACCTAGGCTTTCACATTTATTCAAAGGGTGATTGTGGAATTACCTGGTGTCTTATTTAATTTCAAACAGCTCAATCCTAAAATTTGAAAACCTGGACTTGAATATTTATTGAGGCCTTGAATTCTCTCTATATTTTTTTTAAAGGAAAATGCCTATTTAATTATTTTGTTATTGGGAATAACCAATTTAAATTTAAAAAGATATATATATTTCTTCCTATTTTCTTAAATGAACATAAAATTTACTTATTGTTGTTTTTATGAGTGGAATAAGATCATGGTCCATATGAACATTTTTGTTGGTCTTGATATCTACTGTCTACCACTACTCAATCGGCAAGACAACTCATCACTGGATCTTGGCCTCCTCAAGCAACTTTGGTCAGTTTATTTGGTTAAGTGCAACTGTATTCTCCTCTCCAACACTATCTACATATCACAGCTTTGGGCAGTTTCTTGGTCAGGTAAACTTGTCAACATTTAGCCAATTGGCATTATCAGGACAAAAAAACAAAACAAGATCACATATATGCAGAAAGAAAAAAAAAAAGGGGAAAGAAAAACATTTGCTACTGACATCTTACTAAGCCATCCAAATAGAAACAGAAGGTTCAATTTTTTTTCTCTGCATATAGGTACTTATTTTACTAATATTATTTGTGAAGTAGCCATGTATACACTGAATTTTGTTGGATACACCTTCAAGCTTTTTCTTTCTTTAAATTTAATTATTAATTCCTTTCCAACCATAATATATAAATTATAGGTGCATGAAATTTATAATAATGTAAAATATAACTAAATAATACTTCAAGAAAAAAAAAAAATATATATATATATAATAAGAAACGCACCCCAGCTAATCCTTTTTCTAAGAGGAGACATAACGAAATAGGTACAACAGCATCTGGAAAGGAAATTAATGTTATTAATTATAGTGAATAAAACTTTGAGAGTAAATAATAATTTTTTTGTTTGAAAATACAGAGCTACTCTATTGAAATCAGATATAACAATAGTTTAAAACTGATTAATGGTCCTTTATATTCATAAAATTTGTTTGTAAAATTAAATAAAATTATCAGGATTCAATAGGAAGCCTTCGAACATAAAACCTTGAATCTTTAAATCACATTATTCAAATTTGTTTATTTTAATAGAATTTTAACAGAAGTATTATGAAACTGAAATAATCTGGTATGAACTTAGAAGACATTTGGATAGAAGAATTAATCTCCATATAATTTATGCTAAGAACAGCTTTAATATACTCGAACCTGGACCTTGAGGAATCAGAGCACAGTGATTCATACTCACTGATTAGCCAGGACGGAGAACCTCAGACGAGGTCCTCATGTTTTTCTCCAGAATCAGATGGTTTTTATGGATTGATGGATCAGATGGATTAATTAGATTGGTTTAGATGAAACCCAGGCTTCTTGGGTTCCATCATTCATTCTATTATACCATCAGGTGTAGAGAATTATTTGTTTTTACATCAGATAGTGACCTCAGCCTTTCAAATCATAAGTTATGTTTCTAAATGAGCCAACCTGTTCTTTTCTTATTAACTTTTGAACTTATATACAATTTATGGTTATTTTTATTTAAGTTGAGATTTTAATTACCACAAGATAATTACATATTTCAATATTACACAAAATATAATAACATATATATAAATATTTTGTATCAATGTTCGTTAAGTTTTCATTAAATATAAAACGGAAATGTATACAGAGATATAAATTAATAATATAATAAATAATTACAAAAAATTTAAGGCGTCTAGACTCGAAGTATTTTCTTTTCCAAATTATAATGTTAGTAGCAACAACCTTATTTCTGATTGTTTTTCCTACTTTAATAACCAAATCAATAAATATTCAATAAATTCCAAATAAAACAGATTAAGAAATAAAATAATTTTCAGGTTTCATATTGCTTTGAAACGTGTTAAAATGACAAGCGGGTTAACAAAACCACTCTCAGGCGAGTTAAATTTCCTTGTGGTCAGGAAAGCCTTAGGCGAGGTTTTCCCATTAATTACTTCCAATTAATTTTTTTTTCAAACAAATTGTCAAAAAATGCTATAATTAATCACACCTAAATGAAATATAAAAAAAAAAATTTGCACTCAGCCCGGGGATATTCTCACAGACTCACGTACGCATTGAAAATATTAATGGAGACATTGGAGAAAATCATTGGTAGCTCGAGTTATATTTTTAAAAACTGAAGATATTTTAACTCTTAATTTACACATATAAAAGATAATTTCTTAAAATGTATTTGAAAATTATTTCTCAGAAAATACATTTCAAAGAGCACCCAAATTTTATATACCTAGAAATAAAATTTACAATAACGAAAAATGCTTACATGAAGCCAAATACAAAGATGGGTGATCGGGATCACCTTCTCTACTTCCAGTCAGCACAACTAGCCACTGATGAGGGTCAACTCTGATACCATATCTAGAAATAACAGAAACATAATATTTTTAGTCAACAAATTGAAAATTCACTTACTGAAAAAATTACAAAAAAAAAAAGAAAAGGATTTTTAATTATATAAAACTTTGGTACAAATAAACATTAAAATATTATCAGCCTCGGTTTTTTGTTTAACAATTGAATTAATTTTTTTTAAAGGTGTAATTTAAATCATATCACATCTAAAAATGTTTTTTCTATTCACAAACAGTAAAATATTGACTACACATATTTTTTTTTTGTTCAAGTTTGTTTATACGCTATATCGAACATAAACATTAATTTATAAATTAAATAACATTCTTGGGCATTCACCAAGCATAATTTGCATAACAAGATTTCAGAGCAGTACTTCATGAAATTTATTAACAAAGAGGACCAAGTCAAACTCACCAGAACAACAACTACAGAAAGTAGCATCTATCTCAGGCAGTTACTAAAAGTAAGAAACTACTTAAAACATAAATTGATTGTTTATTCGTTTATTCTATATTTATTTTCTTCTTTGCTTAGTTTTACTATTTTATTTTATTATTTTTAATTCCCTTAATTTGGTCTTGTAAGTGCATACTTACGTATGAACACTATAATAATTAATACATAATTAACAAATGAAGGTTAAAAAAAAAATAAGGAATAAGTAAAATAAAATAAACGATTAAAAAATATAAATAAATTTACATCTGTTGTCAGTTTTTTTCTTCCTTTAAAATTTTTTATTATTATTATATTTTTAAAAATAATTCTTTCATGTTGGCAGGGAATTCTTTCTCTCTTCTTCAAATTTATTACGGTACTAACATCAAATATTTCATCTGTATTTTTCTTGTCAAACGTTACAAGTTATACATTATAAACTTCATTTTTAATTTTCATGGGCTATCAATTGGTTTCAATAAATTATTGAATTTATAAAAACAAATCATTTGTAATATAATATTCATTAAATTTGTTAAACAATTTTAAATTAGATAAGATTAGTTAAACAGTCCTCATCATATAATGTACATTTAACTAGAAGTACTGACTGAGGTTAGTAAAAATTCAGTTAAATATTTAATTAAACAAGAATACCAAAATTATCAACAGTTTTAAATAAAAACCAAATGTGCAGGAAAATGCTAAATTTAAAACTTAATATTATAGCTAAAACCAATTCTAAATTGTTTTTTTTTTTAATTTAATAAATTTATATTTTAAAAATGAAATCAATTATAGCTTTTTTTTTTTAATATGGAACATGGACCAGCATTGTTTTTACTCCATGAGTGCCACAAATAACAGAATCACCTCCCACTAGATCATAAAATCAAATTTATTATCAAACATAAAAAATAACTAAAATAAATATGTTCAGCAACTTAAGAAAGAATGACAATATAGCAAAAACAATTGTCAGATTCAACACAAAATGAAATCATACCAATACAAATATAATAGTAACTAATGATAATAATTAATCAATCAATAATAAATTAGTTTATGAATCATTAACAATAAAGGTAAAGTACATAGTTCAACTTATTTTATCTCTGAATGTTCCAGTTATTTTTGGTGAGCAAGTATGATAAATATCTTGCTAGTACTAGGATCCCAAACAATAAAGAAATATTTTATCTAATTTAATTATTAATAGATGCATACATATACTTGTAAATGTATGTTATGAAGTAATGCATTTCTTTAAATAACCACTGCCCCATAATTTGTATGAATGTTGACAGCTCTCAAAAATACAAACTGAATTGATCATTTAATATTAGAAATATTTTTCAAAAACTTGTAAATAAAAAAAAATACATACAGGACATGGATACCTTAGTTAATAAATTTTCTTTTAAGTTTAATATTTACGACATAGCAATAAAATACTTTATATCAAATGAATTGGTAGTGCTATAAGAACTTGTCTGTAATACAAAGAGCTATTTTATTGTAGGTGATAGAAGAGGATATTGTGCTGTAATTTATTTTGATTTGATTAAAATAAATAAGCTCACATACTTGATAAGGTTTTCTAAGAGGAGTCTTACTCCACCCATAGTCAAAAGAAGAAATGCCCAATTGACAAGACCTGCAAAGTTTGTAAACCCTGATGACCAGGAAAACAAGGAGTCCCTTGGTCTGTGGCATCTGTAATCATTTAAAAAACAAAACACAAGTTTCAGTACAGACACTCAAGTGCCAGAACGGTCTATAATTAATATATTGACCTTTATAAACAATTTATTAATAGACAATGAAAATTTAAATCTAACAACACCAAATAAGAAAAACAAAATTGTAAAATAAATACAGGGAATAATAACAAGAAAAAATACTACACTTGTCAGTAACTGATAACAGCTGAATTTGCAGGAAATCATACACAAGAAAATATATTTGTAATGATTCTATAATCTTACGGTTTATCTGGCTGGATTCGGCGTAATTGTTGTTCCTGTTTCTGTATTTCTTCAGCTCTCGTCACACTCTTCGTCCTTCGAAGCCTAATACCTTCACCTTCAGCCGTCATTACAGAAAGATGAAAACGAACTGAAGAAAAGTGACAAGCACCTGATGAAACTAGGCCAGATAAAGGAACCGAACAACTCAAGGACAATAATTAACGAGCGATGGGCATTAAGTAGTCCCGGATCCGGACGGCGGCCTAGTGATTTGGCCGAAACAGTATCGCTTGGCTACCAAACTCAGACTAAAGTTCATCTTGATTAATCGGGGTGAGACTTATTTACTTACGTTCAAGAGGGTATCAGCTGAGTGGGTGACGGGACCACGTGGTCTTGATAACAGTTTACCACACGTCCAGTGCTACCATCTACTAGGGATGGGTTGATACTAAAATTTTTGTATCTAGATACAACTGATACGGGTACTTTTTTGTATCTGATACTTTTATCTGATACTTTTGTATCTGATACAAATGGGTCAGTAGTTGGTCATGACCTTCCTACTACTTTGTATCTGATACTAGTATCAGATATTTTTATCTGATACTGGCATCAGATACTTTTATCTGATATTTGTATCAGATATTTTTATCTGATATTTGTATCGGATATTTTTATCTGATATTTGTATCAGATATTTTTATCTGATACCCGCATCGGATACTTTTATCTGATATTTTTATCTGATACCTGGACTAGATACCCAGCGGTATGCATGCTGGCGCTTGGTATCTAGTCTAGTCTTGGGCTTATTAGTTAATATATAATAGTTCTAATGACTTTATAGTTATGTCAGATACTATGAAGATATTCACACAGTTTTTTAAACAAAATGTGATTCATATTAGACTAAAGAATGGAATATATTAAATAAAATATAACAAATTCATGCAGAGAAAAATTTTTCCTAATACAACGTTCTTAAGAATTTTGTAAAAATTCTTAATAGCTACGTTTAACATACTCACACACACATATATATTTTTTATTTTCACTGATCAATCTACATCTTGGGATTTAGATTATATAGGACTTGTATAATGTTTACAATACTATTATTGTATTCTTTGAACATATTAAATTACATATGTAAATCATTTAAAGTAAATATTAATCCACTCTTTTATTATTCTTTTTTTTCATTAATACAATGGTATGACAACAAAAGTAATTTGTCGTTCATTTCAAATTTCAGTTAAAATTCCATAGTTTATTGTTTTTAGTAACTATCTTGCTGTATTGGGACCTTATTGCTCATATTATGTCTTTAATATATCAGTATAGTTATGTAAATCCTTCTGTTATTACTTATTTTTTAGTTTTTTTGTGTTTTTTTTTATTGTAATATGCATTTTGGCAAGTTGTTATGTTAATTTTTATGTACAATATTTTTATTCTCAATGGACTTTGTCCCAGAATAAAGTTGATTCTTCTATTCTATTCTATTCTATTCTATATATTTATTTATTTTTTCTGTTTGCATTACAGACCATGTAGATCTTTTGCCACCTTAACAAGTATGCTCAATCTCTACCTGTCTTGGGCTATTTTTATTATAGTAGGCAAAAGACCACGTCAGAGGCCAAAAAGCAAATGGATAGATAGAATCAACAAAGATACAATAGAGCTGCGTGCAGATAAATGGCAAAAAATAGCCCAAGACAGGCAGAGATTGAGCATACTTGTTAAGGTGGCAAAAGATCTACATGGTCTGTAATACAAACAGAAAAAATAAATATATATAGAATAGAATAATCACCTTTATTCTGGGACAAAGTCTCTTGAGAATAACAATATTGTACATAAAGATTAACATAACAACTTGCCAAAATGCATATTACAATAAAAAAAAACACAAAAAAACTAAAAAATAAGTAATAACAGAAGGATTTACATAACTATACTGATATATTAAAGACATAATATGAGCAATAAGGTCCCAATACAGCAAGATAGTTACTAAAAACAATAAACTATGGAATTTTAACTGAAATTTGAAATGAACGACAAATTACTTTTGTTGTCATAACATTGTATTAATGAAAAAAATAATATTAAAAGAGTGGATAAATATTTACTTTAAATGACTTACATATGTAATTTAATATGTTCAAAGAATACAATAATAGTATTGTAAGCATTATACAAGTCCTATATAATCTAAATCCCAAGATGTAGATTGATCGGTGAAAATAAAAGAAATATATGTGTGTGTGAGTATGTTAAACTTAGCTATCGTATAGTGAATATCTTCATAGTACCTGACATAAATATAAAGTCATTAGAAAAATGGTGTAAAATATTTATTACAGGGACAAATTTAATAATAAAGGAATAAAATATATATAGGTACATATTTAATATATGTTTTATTAGGTATCAAATAGGTATTAAAATATCAAACCCGATCAATAATCAATTACAGTTGGATCAAAATATCTGATACAATTATTGAGATATCAAGCCCAAGTGCCAGTATGCATACCGCTGGGTATCTAGTCCAGGTATCAGATAAAAATATCGGATACAAATATCAGATAATGGAAAGAAATAGCCCAAGAGAGGTAGAGATTGAGCATACTTGTTAAGGTGGCAAAAGATCTACATGGTCTGTAAAATATATATATATATATATATATAAATATATATGTGTGTGTGTATGTTAAACTTAACTATAAAGAATTTTTTTAATTGTTACAAAATTCTTAAGAACGTTGTATTAGGAAAATATTTCCTCTCCATGAATTTGTTATATTTTTATTTAATATATTCCATTCTTTTGTCAAATATGAAGCATATTTTGTTTAAAAAAATGTGTAAATATTTCCTTAGTACCTGACATAACTATACAGTCATAAGAACTATTATATATTAACTAATAAGCCCAAGCGCCAGTATGTATACCGCTGGGTATCTAGTCCAGATATCAGATAAAAGTATCTGATGCAGGTATCAGATAAAAATATCTGATACAAATATCAGATAAAAATATCCGATACAAATATCAGATAAAAATATCTGATACAAATATCAGATAAAAGTATCTGATACTAGCATCAGATAAAAATATCCGATAGCAGTATCAGATAAAAATATCTGAAATTACATTACATAAAAAAAAAAATAAGCGTGAATATATTTATCTACAAATAAATATTTAATTAAATTAAACTAAATGAATAGATAGTTCTAAAAAAATTGTGCACAACTAAAATTATAACTAAACATTTCTCTTATATCAATGTGGCATGTCTGGACAACCATTTTGTATCTGTGTGAGCATCAGATACTTTTGTATCAGATACTTTTTGGTTGTATCTACTGGTTGTATCAGATACTTTTTTAGTATCAGATAAAAGTATCTGATACATACAATCCGACCCATCCCTACCATCTACATTTCCAATCATATACTAGTACCATCATATATTAATGTAAACTTTTTAAGAAATTTAATTACTTCATGGAAGCGAAAAAGAGCTATTGCTTTGACTTGTGTTTAACTGTATATCTAAATTAATCTGTAATAACGATTTTAGTGATCGTTTCATTGCATAAAAGAGGCTTACATCATGAAACCCAGATCACATAGTTGTATTGATTAGATGGAGTATGATCATCCTCCTGTCATTTATATTTTATAGTAAAATAAAAATAAATTGATTAGGAGTTTCAGAAGATGGAATGAATATTTCATTAAATATTTGTATTCTTTCCTGATTTGATTTCATAAATAGAATGAATGACTAATGGATATCCTTATAAGAAATAGATGTCTTATTAATTTATTAAATATTCTATTTATAATGTAAATTTTTGTAGATTATTAATTAGTATAACTATAATGGGGAAAATAAAAACGTTATCAATTCTTTAGTAGAATATTCTTATAATTCTTAAATTGAACAATTCATTGAAAAAAGAAACTTAATTAATATGCATTTAATATGTTTTGTTTTTTTACGTTTATTGAGTATATCCATTCATATTATTTTAATATAACTGTTAAGACTTGATTTTATTTCTAATAATAAAACAACACATTTCATCTATAAGTCTTACTATTTTTCTTTGAAAAAGATTTTATTTTAAAATTAAAAAGTTTTGTCAAGGTCACATTTTAAAACAATGGAAATACAAAATATTCGGAAATAGGGAAGTTTGCACTGGATTTTATACTGACTGGATATTATTATTGAAAGTCATTCTTATGTTTTAAGGAGGTATGTTTAGAATCATTGTTTTGTTGAAAGACACACATTCCTTCCAAACTGGGGTGCCTAGAAGAGGGTTTTATGGGGCAAGTTGGTCCATCAAAATTTTTGAGGGAGATTCATTTTGACAGGGTTTTGAATTTTTGAGGGATGCACATTTCGACAGGGTTAAGAATTTTCGAAATGAAAAGTTTCAAACAACGGGATAAGAGACAACCATAGAACAGATCACTGAAAGTATAATTGTATATGATTTTTAAAATTCCACTTTAGCTTGCACTGTTTTTAAGAAGAGGAGATTGCTTTTTATTGCTAACATATCTTGGGAGGAAGGGAGGAAGTTAAATGATCGCAACTACATTTAAACAAAACTGATCCACAATACCACTTTGATTGTGTGCACCTTACCCATGTAACCCATTTTCCAATCTCATACTGCAGACATCTAACATAATATCCTCTAAATGTGACAATGAAATTGATACTTTCAGGGATTTGATCATATTTCCAGACTAGTCAAAATTCAATGTTTTTGAATACAATGATTGGGAAAAAATTAGCGAATCAATGAAAATAAAAAATTTAAAGTCCAATGAAAGAAATATACCAACTAGACAACACTAAAACTCATGAATAACTTTTATATAATACATCTCGGCACCTGAAAACCTCTCTACAATTTCTCTACCTAAATTCTATCAAAAACCTATGGAATAAAATCAATTGTTGAGTAAGAAAATTATGGTTATAGAACATAAAAGTATTTAAAAAGGTATTTCTGGAAGAATGAGGGAAAATTGTGGGTGAAGTTATTGGAAAGTTGCTAGGATTTATGAAAATCCTATAATTTAAAGTCTTAAGAAACAGAAGAGGGCCGAAAATTCTATATAATGTATTAATAAATTATTTATATTTTGTTAATTCATCGAGTTCACGAAATTTTATGCCATGTGTATGAACAAAAGCAACAAATAACTGTTTATTCATAAACAATAACTGATCAGAAAAATATAAAAATATTTTATATAACATGAAAATATAACTCTTCTATTTTTAACTACAATGGTC